TTGAAAAAAATATTTTACACTATAAACATCCCAAAATAATGCATTTAACTATATAATAGTCATCACAGATTTAATAAGATAGAACCATTGTTAACTGGAATATAAAGTAAAAACTTACAATTATTAAAAAACAACTATAAATTTTAAACTTTGTATACAAACGAGCTATACAAAAATGATTACAATACTAATCTAAAGAAAACTAAACGACAATGTCTCCTCCATCAAGTGTTTGCTCCAATGAAACCTCATCTCCCTCTGCTCACACCACAGGATTATCATAGCCAAGAAAAGAACACAACCACATACAAACACAAGCACAAACAAAAGGGTAAGCTAGATATAAAAAGATTCATACAATGTTATAATACATTTAACACCTTAATTCATTCACATATAGCAATAAACTTCAAACATCCTAAACATGTTAAGACTTAGACTAGATTTTTCGGATTTAGAATGATTTTTGAGCTATGGCGGGTTGTGCACTTGTGGTGGCCTTTACTGCTTTGCAAAGTCATTGCCAGTGGGTTTCACCCTACCACACTAACAAGGTTAGTTTGTTCCACGCCTTTGATCATATTGGAAACACCCAAGACTAAGACCTCCAGCTACTCTTCACGACATGTATCAATATTCTCTACTTGAGAATGAAAGACCATTAGAGTTTCAGGATAACCCCAAAGACTGGGCTCCCTGCATTCATTCTTAACATACTTTCATTCCAATCCAATAATATTACAAGATATATAATAACAGAGGAACTTTTAAACCATTCAAAGAATCAAACATACCCAGGATTATCAGAGACTTATACTAAATATAAAATACAAACAAATCCTGAACTAGTCGCTCAACGACCAAGCTCGTTTGGCGACCAAAGAGTCCTCTTGCTCAACGACCCCACTCGTTGTACGAATACAAAGACAGTGGTTCAAACCCCTTCACCTCTCACTCAGCAACCCAACTTTCTATGTGAATACAGAGACAGTGGTCCAGACCCATTCAGCTCTCGCTTAGCGACCCAACTCATTGTGCGAATACAAAGATAGTGGTCCAAACTCCCTAACCTCTCGCTCAACGACCCAACTCGCTGTGCGAATACGGAGATAGTGGTCCAGACCCCTTCATCTCTCGCTCAGCGACCCAACTCGCTAAGCGAGATTGCATAATTTTACATCATCAAAACTGCATAATTTGCACCCTTACCCAATATTGATCTATTCTATAAATCTTTCCCAACTTCCAAGACTCCTTGATTGTATTCTAGAATCAAATGTAACTAAATAAACACATCTAAACCAACCTAAACACATTTTAAACTCAAAGATCACTAGCTTTTACACTAAATTTTATCAAAACCTCACTTTAGAGACTCAAATTGAATTCCACCAGTTATGGCACAATTTCAAACAACTTAGGGACTCTAACAAGTCCCATATAACTTATTAACACTCCCCAAACTGACCATTTGAGCACAAAATCCATAATTCAAGTTTTCACTGGACACTCCCAAAAACTAGTTTTAAACTAAGGTAAAATATACATATCCACCACCACACACTCATATCTAAAATTTCTTCCATTTTAAATGTTTGAACAAGTCACAAAACATCTCATAACAAACCCCAACTACATCAAACTAGTTTAATATCCCTCTCTCACAATTTCACTACCTAAGATCTCATGTTTCCTTCAAAACACTATCAACATCCTTAAGTTTTCAGCTCTTTATTCTCTAAATTTNCGCTGTGCGAATACGGAGATAGTGGTCCAGACCCCTTCATCTCTCGCTCAGCGACCCAACTCGCTAAGCGAGATTGCATAATTTTACATCATCAAAACTGCATAATTTGCACCCTTACCCAATATTGATCTATTCTATAAATCTTTCCCAACTTCCAAGACTCCTTGATTGTATTCTAGAATCAAATGTAACTAAATAAACACATCTAAACCAACCTAAACACATTTTAAACTCAAAGATCACTAGCTTTTACACTAAATTTTATCAAAACCTCACTTTAGAGACTCAAATTGAATTCCACCAGTTATGGCACAATTTCAAACAACTTAGGGACTCTAACAAGTCCCATATAACTTATTAACACTCCCCAAACTGACCATTTGAGCACAAAATCCATAATTCAAGTTTTCACTGGACACTCCCAAAAACTAGTTTTAAACTAAGGTAAAATATACATATCCACCACCACACACTCATATCTCATATTTCTTCCATTTTAAATGTTTGAACAAGTCACAAAACATCTCATAACAAACCCCAACTACATCAAACTAGTTTAATATCCCTCTCTCACAATTTCACTACCTAAGATCTCATGTTTCCTTCAAAACACTATCAACATCCTTAAGTTTTCAGCTCTTTATTCTCTAAATTTCACAACACACAATCCAAATAGACTTTTAATACCTTAACATTCAATTTCCAGTCAAATCATCATCCCATACACTCTTCAACAACATTTCATCACCACATACACAAAAACACTCAATTAATTTGGTTACAACTAGCACATTGCATAATTTTCACCTAAACAATTTAATATTCATATACAACATCAAACTTACACCATAAACATCAATTAAAGAAAACTCTAGCTTCCCTTACCTCTAAACCAACTACCCCAACTTCTCAAAACACTCCACCAATTGCTTGCAATGTAAGAGATTTCTAAACGAACCTACGAAACACCAATTTTGAAATGGACAGAGTCCTTAGAACTCTAAATCAACCAAGAACCAATAAAGAAGATAAATTGATACATGCAAAGCAGTTTCTCTTTGCATGATCAAAGATCAAGAAAATGGATGAAAACTTATTTGCTTTAAACAACAAATTGATTGGTTAGATATGTAGTCCTTGTCATAAGGATTGCCTAGACACCTCTTGATCGTCAAATAAATGACGTAAGAGTAAGAAATCTTAGAAAGAAGTGAGAGAAAACAAAGAGAAAGAGTTATAAAAAGATAGAGTGTGATTTAAGTAACAAGACGAGTTTAAGAAATTCTATTTATATTATAAAATTATTTTATAATAAAGTATTCACATTATTTTAATATAAAAATATACTCTAATACTCTATTTTCTATATTCTTACGTAAATAAACAATGTTATTAGTACTTGACGTTTAAGGTTTTATTGAATTCATGATAATGCTTCTTTTTAGCATAGCACGCTTATATCATTCATAATGAGAGTGTAAATACATGGTATACATTACTTTAAAATTTAACAAGTTAAATGCAGCTCAATTGTTATTGAATTGATATTAATGAAATAATAGTAATTATTATATAAATACAAAATTAAAATAACACTTATTTTCAGTTTTGACATTCAACAAACATAAAAAATCAAAATATATGAGAATACTTAGTCTAACTTTCAACTATACACGATAATATTTGTTGATAATTATAATCAAATTCAATTTAAAATAAAAATAAAAACGACAGATATTTCAGATTATTTTTTCATTTAAAAAAAATAAATAAAAATAACCTTGTAAATTGATTCTTTAATTTTTTTTTCTTTTTTTTTACCTATGTTTTAGATAGATTGTATTGTGAACTAGTTTTCTAATTTGAATGGACTAAACACAGGAAGTTTACTATTTTTTTAAGTCCATCTTCAAATATCTTACGAATCTGAAGTGACAGAGAAAATATTAGCTGTAAAATGAGACTAACTCTATAAACAAAATAATGTTGGCAATGTGAATTGTATCTATGTTTTTGTCCCTTCTCCGATACATATCTTACCCAAATCAGTTTATTATCAGGAACGCATATGCTATGGATATTATTATTATTATTATTATTATTATTATTATTATTATTATTATTATTATTAATATATATGTGTGTGAATTTTATCGATCTAATGATTAAATTATAATTATGATTTTTTATTTTTAATTCAATAATAATAGAAAAATAATTAAATTATTTATATTTTAATATATTTTTTAAAACTGCATATTATGTCTATTTTAATAAATATAAACGAGGTATAAATAATTTTCATTAACCTAATCTTATGAAAATTTAAGTCTAATAATAAGTTTTGAGAAAACATGTTCAATAGAAAAATGAGAATGCTAACAATGTCCTAAGAATATTGTTTAAAGTATGATTAATGATACTTAATTTCACTATATTTATGTTGAAATCTGAAATAATTAATTTTACTAATTAAAATTGATTTCATTATATTTATGTTGAAATATGAAATAGTTAACTTTACTAATTAAAATAATATAAATCTATATAACAGATTTTCTATAAACAAAAATACATTTTTTTGTTTTTATGTTTACAACCGTTTTCTAAACTCAAAATGACAGTGATTTTCTAAAATACCCTTTCTGTCTTTTCTAATTTAATATTTTTTTTTACATTTAATTATATTTTAACTTTTAGTAACCTTAAAATGAAAGACAAACTATTAAAAATAAGAGAAATAATACAAGTTAAAATTATTTCATTATTTAACTATTTTTAATTTTTAGGTTAAACCCTTTATAACCCCTATTTATGTGGATTTTTCTCAGATCCCATTTTATTGGATTATCCAATTTAGTCCTAAAAAATTAAAATTTAAGTCAGTTGAGCTCCTATCTTTAAATTGACTTAATGAAGTTAAGTTTTTATAAAGTGTGACATTGACGTGGCCAGTTTTGAAACGTGACATTCTCATACCTTTGTACGTGGAATATATAATTATAAAAAATTCTGAGAATTGAAACCCAAATTAGGATTTATCATCTTCAACCTTACCTTTCACCATCTTCAACCTAGCGATGTTCAGGTTCATTGTGAAATTTGGTTTTCACGAATTTTTGGTTCATAAATCCCAGTAAAATAATTATGGAAAGACAACACTGTCAACTTAAAAGACCCTAATTCAACTAATGCTCAAAGAAAATTCTTCATCTTCGAGAACCACACAAATAAAATAAAAAATCCAAATCACCCTCTCTTTTAGACAACATCTCCAAATATTTTCCCCCAAAACCCAAATAGAAAGAGTGTATCTTTCCATTAACCAACCCAGTAAATCACTAACAAAAAACTCTAACCATAACATAGCGAAAGTTAACTACTTAAGGAGATTTTATCAAACATTCCCAAATTCACAGCTCCCTAATTAATCCACAGAAACCCAGAAGTCAGTCAAAGCTTAGATTTTCAGCACAAGTGATGGGAGAACCAATTCGATCCACCAATAAATCAAAAACAGAATAGGGCACCATAGAAACCCACATAAAAAATTATGGGAAAAAGAAACATTTTGCGAGAACCTTTTCTTCATCAGGTTCCCTTCATTTCCACCTTCTCCCCCTTTCGTGTAAACCCTAACTAACCATTCATTTTCTTGTTTCATGCAGGAACGACGGCACAGAAGATCGCTATAGCGTGTTGATAAAATTTGTCGATCAATTCGCCGCCGATGAATTTTACAGCTATTTCAATGGCAGGAAATTTTCTCCTGCCGAGGTGAATCAATCTTGATAACCTTTTCACATTTTAATTTTTATTCTGTATCCGAACATTTTAAACGATAATCAAAGTTTTTTGTCTAGGGTATTGAAGAAGATTATTAAAGAAGATATAGAGTATGAGATTGGAAGAAGAGGCGACCGAGTATGGCTTGCATTTAGCGTCTAGGAATCTTCAGGTTGTGAAATTTGGAATTTCTATGTAGATTTATTGTGAGGCCCAATTCAAATGTAATTTGGAATTGATTTTTGGATTTCTTTTCAAAGGCTTGATGCATAGGGAAGAAGATTTCTGGGTGATGGATAGGGAAGATGATTTTTGGGTGGTGCTTCATTGTAATGGAAGATGACTTTTTTTTTTAATTTCTTAATCAAACATTTTTCACGTCAAACTTAACTTAATCTCGTTAAGCCAATTTAACGGCAGGGATCTAATTGAGTCAATTTTTCACTTATAAGGAATAAATTGGGGAAACCGATAAAATATTATGAAGGTGATGACTTGGGTCCAAGCCCATCAAATAATCAAGGCCCAAATACTAGAAGCTATAAAAGCACACCCATCATCTTGTATGAAGTCACTTTTGAAGAATATTGAGTTTTACTCTGCTGATGCATTTTCAGCACCCTAAACTCTGTCCAAAAGTCACTTCTATGAGCTTTCCTTCTCCATCTAGCTTCCTTTCAGTGGAAGGCCGCCTAAGCTAGCTTCCACCCACACCAAACAGCTCTTCAACCATCCTCTACACCATTGATTTCACCTTTGCATCTTGCTGCCCCAATCTGGTTTCCATCTTCCGCTGCATTCCATTCATCACCCTTGTAGGAGCAACCTCATCAAGTGGTATTCAGAGCTCCGATTTGTTCTGCATCACACGCTTTTTGCTTTAGTGCACTATTACATTGATTTTTGGGTTTCAATAGATTTTCAATCGAGTCATTTAATTGTTCCAAATTTTATTCAATTTAATTTCATCATTTTAATCGGTTTATTCATTTGTTTTGAGTATTTTCATTTTGGAAATCTGATCTGTCATGTATAGTCATGTCCAATTAATTCAAATTGTCAAATTCTGAAGTAAATTAGTGCTTGGATAAATTTGTGTTACTTGAATGGTTATTCGATAGCTGCACATTATAAGAGCAAGGATCCAAAGAGCTCAAGTGCAACCTGGTTCCATCAAGTGCAGTACCAATTTTCACAGTAACCAAATCTGATTTCAATTTGTTTGAATCTACACGTGTAAAATTGAAATCTGGATATATTTGAGTTGCTGCAAAGTATGATGAGTGCATACCAAATGAACAGTACATTGTCCAAGACAATAGCAATTGGTTGTACCATCCTGCAAAATCCAGAATTTAGTGCCTAAGCAGCTTGACCAAACTACACCCTTCTTTGTTTGAGTTTCTACATTTTTTAATCTGTCCAGTTTATAACTCTCTGCTGGACATCTTTAAAATCATTCCTAGAGTCTTGTTCAAATTTAAATTGTTGTTCTGGAGTCATAAGACTTGTTTCCAGTTCCATTTGAATCTTCTGTTGAAATTTGGTTGGTGAATTGAACCAATTTTGGATGTTAAGAGCAACTCATAGAGTGAAATTTTGATTTGCAAATAGTTAGCCTCTGCTGGCAGCTTATACAAGTCATATTTGGTAAAATAAAGTTGCTCAAATCATAAAATTAAGTATCCAAACTTGTTTGTGCAAAATGGCCATTCAAACCACCAATTTTCCAACACTTTTTCTGATATGAGTTGCAGAAATTTGTGAATCTTTGCTTGCTGTGATTATTGCATCAAATTACATCTTCAATTGGTAGCAAAAGCTTGGTTCATTTGATTAAAAAGAAGTGCACAAGTCAAAATTCACAATAGACTGCATTTTAAAAAGTTGTGTGAACCAATGCCAATAAAATTTTTTTCAAATGTGATGCACATTTTACAGAAGCTCTCTTAGGCATTTCTTCAAACAGTTTTGCCTATTTTAAAATTGAGTTCGAATTAGCCATCTCTACAACTTGTAATTGTTTCTTGCTTTTAACTCCACTCTAGAGTCTCTCCTAAGTTCATATTGAGTGCCACCTTTCATTGAAAACCACTTAATTGTTTGATTTGATTTGTTTGAAAATTTTGCACATCAACTGTTTGATGAAAGTTCAGTTGTGCATTTTGGTTTAGTAGTTTCTGGCAGCAGCAGGGTTGGATTTTCTTACGTTTTAATCACTTGAAGGTGGTTCTTTTGAGCTCTATTTTTGGTGCAGAATTATCCAGGCAGTCCTCCAACACTGGTAGCATCCTAGGAAGTGGAGTGGAGCAAGGAAAGATCAACTTTGGAGTTGATTTCTGGTGCAGCAGTTCACGTCCTTGGGTCTGCACAAGTCTCTGATTGTTGTAACAGCAGAGTGCATTTCTTGTCAACTGTGAGATTAGTGTGAGTCAACCAAATTCACTTCCCTTGAGAGAAGCCAAAGCTTCCACACATCATTTATGTTCCATTTCTTTGTTGTTCCAATTCATTTGATTTGTAAAGCACTTGTAATTGGTCATTCAAACTCCAAGTGTTTTGGAAGAGTTCTTGGTGCTCTTTCAACTCTTGGCAAACCTTTTCTTGTTTGTGCTTAATTTTGTTTTGCGTGTTTAGGGTTGACCTAGGCTATAAAAGATTAAAATCTAAGCCTGGTCACATTAGAGTCCGAATATTAGGAGTCTAGTTTTGATTGTTTGTATTTTGTTTGAATCTTATCCATTGATTTTAAAGGTGAATTTAGTTTAAAGGGTAATTAGTTAGTCTAAGACATCTCTGGCAAGGTAAGACTTGGTACTTAAGCAACCCTTGTGGTTCACCTCTCTTACTTGGAACTTGTCTAGGTGAAGCTTATAACCCTTTAGATTAAAAAAACTTTTAAGAACAAATGATGTCAAGTTATAGGTCTTATAGGAGTTGTAATTTTAGTTTTGACAAACCACATACTTTCAAAGAAATGATTGAAACACTTGAAAGAACCATGAAATATTGTACCTTTTGGGAATTAGATAAGATTGAGTGTGATATATATGGTCAAGCTAATAGGGAACTTCCATTTTTTGGTAGAGACACAAGTGCATTAACCTACATAGCTTGGGAAAAGAAAATTAATGAAATACATCCAGTTTTGGCTAAAATTAATGATCCTTGTAAATCCTATGCTTTTTCTAAAACAAATGAAAATTGTGTTCCTAGGTTATACATTTCTAAGTATGAAGGGTATGCAAGAGAGTGGTGCGATCAAAGGCAAATTAGTGTTAGACAAGGTAGAAAATCCTCCATTCATGATTGGTATGAATTAAGAGCTTGCATGAGAAGAATGTTTGTGCCTTTATCATTTAAACAAAACCTAAAGCTAATGAGAGAGAGCATTCAAGAGGGAAAATCATTTCTTAAAAATATAGACAAGTTTCATCATATGGAAAGAGAGTTTAGAGAAAAACTTATGACATTCTTGAATGAGGGAAGTACACGAAGAACTGAGAGAGAACATAGGGAATACAAGAAAAAATAGAAAGGATGGAGAGAAGAAAATAGAGAAGAAAAGAAGAGAGAAGAAGAGAAAAGAGAGAAAGAGAAAAGCTTGAAAGAAGAGAAGATGAAGAGAGAAGAAGAGAAGAAGAAAGAAGAGAGCAAGAGAGCAAGAGATAAGAGAAGAAGAAAGAAGAGAGCGAGAGAGACGAGAAGAGGAGAAAAGAGAAGAAAAAGAAAAGAAAGAAAAGGAAGAAATTGAAAGAAAAGAAATGGAAGAAAAGGAAAAAGAGCAACTACGAACAACTCTCCTCCTACACTCTCAATAAAACCTAGACTATTAAGGGGAGGTTTTCTATCCTTTCACTTTTCTCCATTTATTTTTGAGTTTCAAAAATTTCACTTTTCTTTTAAAGAATTTGCCATTTCACCTTTAAAAATGTTACAACTTTCAACACGTGGCAAATCAAAACTTGAGTTATGGTTACCTTTCTGGTTACCACTAACTCAAAACAAAAATAAAATTTCAATTGAACAAAGGTTTCTTTGTTGTATTAAAATTAAAAATTTTAACATAAGAAAATCTTCTTCTAAACATATTCTTATATGCATCTTATCGGGTCAAATAAAACTAATTAGAGATATGTTTGATGATTATTGCAGATTGATATTTGATCCAGGAGGGACTCTTGTGAAGCCAACAAAAATAAGTCCTCACAAAGACAAACCATCAGATTTAAGGACAAATCCTTTCCAAGGGGGAGGGGATGATGACTTGGGCCCAAGCCCATCAAATAATCAAGGCCCAAATAATAGAAGCTAGCCAAGGAAAGCATAATTGCAGTCCATGAAGGTGCGCCCAACGCAAGCCCTAAGAGTGCTTAGCCCATCTTCACTTTGTAGCATGTGTATTAGGTGCTTAATTATATTTCAGCATGAGTTGCACACAAGGACACATGGCTTGTGATCCATTATACACGACTGATTATAAGCTCAACCTAGAAGCACTGAATGGGTAGTTGAAAGTGCTATAAAAGCACACCCATCATCTTGTACGAAGTCACTTTTGAAGAATATTGAGTTTTACTCTGCTGATGCATTTCCAATACCCTATACTTTGTCCAAAAGTCACTTCTATGAGCTTTCCTTCTCCATCTAGCTTCCTTTCAGTGGAAGGCCGCCTAAGCTAGCTTCCACCCACACCAAACAACTCTTCAACCATCCTCTACACCATTGATTTCACCTCTGCATCTCCACTGCCCCAATCTGGTTTCCATCTTCCGCTGCATTCCATTCATCACCCTTGTTGGAGCAACCTCATCAGAAGGGGTTTAACCTAATTTTTACGTGTGCTTCAAATAAATTATCAATTACAATTGTATAACACTTATAAACATTTTTATAATCTAAATAACATTTAGAAGATCATTCTTATTTTGTGTTTAGAGAATAATTGTAAGCATAACAGAAAAAAAAAAGAATATATTTTTATTTTTAGAAGATCAGTTATATGAATTTATACTATTTTAATTAGTAAAATTAATTATTCCAAATTTTAACATAAATGTTATATAATCAATTTTAACTAATAAAGTTAATTATTTCAGATTTCAACATAAGTTAAATTAATTGTTTAGTTACACTTTAAATAGTGTCCTTAGAACACCGGTTAGTAGAACTCATTAAAAAATATTAAAAAGTAGGCTTAATAGTCTTTTTTTTTCCCTAAATTTGCTTATTTTTCTCAATTAGGTTTTTTTTTAAAATGTGTCAAATTAGTTTTCGTTTAATAAATTTTGCATTGTTCCTTCCGTTAGATATGTTTTTTCTCTCTCATCTGATTCTCTCCAACACTACACACTTTCTTTTTCTTTTGTGAGATTCTCTCTCTGGTTCTCTCACGTTCACACACCCTACACATTTCTTCATCTCTTTCTTCTTTCATTTACATTTCCTCACTTTATAAACACCAATTCAGTCTCCAAAGTTACGTAATCATTCCCATGCAAAATCACACACTCCTTCCCTCCTTGCTGCATTGGTCCGAGAATTTCCATTTCACACTTATTTTTTTCCTAGTTACCATCTTATTTTCTTCTTCAACTTTAGTTCCTATAACTCCTACAACTCTAACAGCCAGTGTCTCCTTCTCCTCAACCTCTCTTCACTAGTATTGCACCCTTTCTCTAACTCTCTTTCATTTTCAACGACCCATTCTCTTCCTTCTCTTCCTCTTTCTCTTCTCCCATAATACTATTTACATATACCACTTCTCCAAAAACACATACTAACATTCTCACTTTATCACCACTGCACTCCAATTCCCACACATGCCTTCAAAATAAATCTTTTAATAACAAAAGCCATGCATTTTAACTCTTACATGATGATGGCAGTACCTCACCTACATTTAACTCTTTGAACCCATGTGCCCCATATAAGCTTCTGCACCATCGAATACGAAGCCCACCAGACCGCGTTGGAGGGAGTGTAGGTCACGATGGAAACCCCGAATCCCCTGTAGAACCCTCTTGGATCATCCACACCCAGAATTTTTCTGAATGCGTCAAAACCATTTCTGTAGCACACTGCAGAAGGAAAGATCAAGAATCAGTAGCAGTGTTCGATGCCCATTTGTTCACAGGTTAGTACTCTCTCTGGGACATGGTATAAATGAGAGAATTCATTTATGTTAACTAATCAAGCATTAATCATATTATATTCATTTTTCTAAATTACTATTCTTAATATTTTTCTTAGCTTGGGAGAAGAAAGAGTGTATAAAATTTATTGTGATTAATTTTTTTTATAATAAGTACTTGCAGTATTAAGGTTCGAGTAAATATTAGTTTTTATTTCAGGCAAGATATCTTATTTAGTTCTTTTAAATAAAAAAGTTGTCTCTCTTTTTTTATTCTAAGAAATGGTCAATGAAATCAAATTAAATTTTACAAAAATGGACCATAAACACAGCATAAAAACAGTTAGGATTAATGAGATGATGGATTAAATTTAAATTACTCAATTTTACCTCCTTGTACCATGAGTCTCTGGCTAACAACATCGACTGGGGTCCACACCAACTGTGCCACCATGGCAGAAGCTACTCCTCCTGCGGCATTAGCGAAGGGTGGCGGAGGCGACTTTACTCTTGGTGACTTCGAGCGCCGACATGTAAAGCGAATCTTAATTTGTTAAGTGAATTTGGGTTGCTGAATATAATGTGCCATCTTGGAAAAATTGTCTAATGAAGTTTAATCGAATTAGTTAAAGTGTTCATTGAATATAACTGTTCAATGAAGTTATTAAGCCTAAATGGTATAACATTTAGTGAAAGTTATATTAATATAACTGTTCATTGAATAGTAACACTGTGTAATGAAAATGAAGATGTAAGGAAAACTTTAATTTATCTTATCTAATTTATTCTTAACGCACTTTCTTTCTTAGGATGATTTTATTAATAATGACTGAATAGCACAACCCATATGTTAACCAAATTTATGATAATTTATTGTGTTAAGTCATGCCTATAAAAGAAAAGACTTCTGAATTGCTCTTAACTGTTTCTTCTACAACTTTTCTCACACTATACATACATTTATCCATAAATTAAATTAAATTATATGCAAAATATGAAGCTTCAACACCTTCACTTAAAATATTTATCCATAAAAAGAATTAGAGATTGACAAAATTCAATTCCATAATTTCTACACTTTACAACTAAAATTAGTTTCTAACTATTAGTTAAAAACATTAAAATTAAAATATTACTAGAACAATATGATGACTATCATGCATTGAATATTCAAATTCTTGTAATATCGTTTTTTAAGTATGAAACAAAGTATATTAGAAATAGAATACACATCTTATGCACCTTCATGATCTCCAATGGAATTTATCATTGTTTCCAACAATAAATGATAGGTATAAATACCATGATATAAAAATGTAATCACTACAGCTACCTAGACATTTTCAAGATTAGTAGCACAAACAGAAAATTTGTTCAAGAACATGTTTTCCATTGAAAGAACCATTTGAAATAAACCTGTATAAAGATTCAAAGCAAAAACTAACGAAGACACATTCATCATACGATAATAAAAGAAATTGCACTAAAATTAATAACAAATAAACAAGATTTATTCACACATGCGTACATACAACAAAGCCTCATGCAACTTCACTTCAGGAGGCTAAAAAACATAAGGGGCAGCTCATGTATGAAACAAAAAAAAAATTGTCATGTATCACTCCAGTTATCATCATCTTCACCATCATCACTTGCAACAACCTGAAAGTGGATACTGATCAGATGCAAAGTGCAGAACCAATTACATAATAGATAACAAGAGTGTATTGACAAATACCTGACGAATTGCATTTGCCTTTTCTAAAATTGCTGTAACTTTAACGTTGGCAGTGGGACCAGTTGCATCATTTGACTTTCCTGTTACTGTGGGCCTCAGGTTGAAGGCCTGAACCAACAATGCAAAAGTTAACAACAATAAACACTGTTACTTTGTTTATAGATAAATTTGCAAGATCATGTTCTGGTTTGATGTGATGTAGACTCCAGAGTCAAAAATTGTCATTTTGAGGACTAATTTGATGTGAAAAATTTAAGTATTTAATGAACATTTTGATGTATTTATAGAGAAAGACAAACTTGATGACACTTATATCTGTGTGGATGACCAAAATGTTTATTTTTACCGTTGAATATATGAGATTATAACATGATTACATACTTTTGTCCTGATTTGATATAGGAAATCTTCTCTTTCATCAGTCTCCTTTCCCATTCTCAATTGGTTTGTTTCTTTCTGACCCTTCAATATCTGCTGATCCGGCTGCAGGAAATGCTGAATGAGACGAATGCGCTGTTAGATTCCAATGTTCATCATTGTTGCATAAATAAAATGTTCAAGAAAAAGGTAATAACAAAATGTTACCTTGTTCTTCAAGTTATATATAATGTTCTCATAAGACTCATGACCATCGTCATTAATTTGTATTTGCTCAACCTTGGTGAACCTAGGTTGCTGGAAGACAGTAGAATCTGAAAGACTGTGATCATTAACAAGTTCAACATCTTCATATATACAATGCAGTGTCTCGTTTGTCATATCCAACTGCGGTTTTGAGACCCACCATTGCGTTGGAGGAAGTGGAGGTGGTGGTGGAGGCGCTGTAGGCTCTGCATGCCCATGTTGCATAACAGCATTATTGAATTTGGAATGCATTTTACTCTCTTTCTCAAGTGCAGGATTAACATTATCATAACTTGGAAAATCAAGTAAAGGCCTGGATAAAGAATGCTCCATGCCATTAGCCGTATAAGTACCGTTTCCACTTTTGACATTGGTATCATCATTGGACACAGACTCAGTTGATGACTTTCTGCGAGGAGAATCATGTACCCCATGGTCACTGCTTCCAGGAGTTTCATCAGATTCCCATTGATCAGAGTTATAGTCAGAGCGAGGGCTTCGACAATCATCGGATATATACGGAGATGATCTACAGAAAGTGTCGTCATCATCAGAGTGAGAAACTGAGCCATCCAGAGGAATGGAAGAAGATTCAGGGACCAACTGGAAAGAAGGAAATATATCGTTTACGCTTTCATGACGATTATTGCCATCAGGAAATTTAAGTTTTAGTTTGGAGGTCTCTAGTCCAACGATGGGATGGAAAGATATTTTCATATGTTCAAGTGGAGGTGAAGGGGGAAGTGACTTTATAGGATATACAGAACCATCTTTCTCTTTGAAAGTGGTTGTCTCAGGAAATGACTGTCCCACAATACCATTTTCTCCACTCTGTTCCAATAGAACTTGTTTCAGAGAATTATAATGTTCTGATTTTTCATCAAATGAAACTTTCCGTTGAAAACTATTTATTAGTAATCTACGACTAAGTCCAAACACTCGTGATGAGTTTTCACCAATTCCTTGGTCGGTTTCAGTGCTGTCCTTTGTATCAGGGGCCACTGGAAGACCACTTCCAGGAGCAATTACTCTGATTTCCCCTGACCCGTTCCTTTCGGTCTGATCAAACCCATTGCTCTGCAGAGAATTGCCATTTGTGTTTTCAGAGGTGCAAGCTTGGTCATCATCATGGCATGTTACGAATCTAGAAGTTCGCCCCTTTAGAATCTGTTCTGCAACCTCTTCTGACGTTGATTCCTGTTCCTCTTTATAAACATCGCTCTTTTGCATTGTATTGTGACCTGAAGCACCGTCTGGTTCACCTTTTGTGCTCAAAGGCCCTTGACTAATAGAATTTGACTTGTTAAAATCAGGAGGTTTTGATGGCTCAAGTCCTAATAATCCACCATTGGTCCAGAATCTAACTGAGTGATCAGACAAAGACTCTTTACGTGTCTCTTCATATTTGCAGATATTGGAGCTGATCTTACCTGCTTCCTCATCTGGCAAAGTAGTGCTATTAGAACCAAAAAATGATACATTGGTTTCAATTGGAACTGACACAGCATCATTAACAGAAGTCGGACCAATATAGTTATTGGTGCATACTGAGTGATCCAAAACAGAATTTCCATGTGTGTGAGGAACCTGTTCACTGGCAGGAGTCTTAGAAGGATGTGATTCAGTTATAGTATTGGCTACTTCTTTGCTAACAGAAACATCTGATGGAGTAACAGATGACAAATTAGATGCATGTGGGCCTGATGTGCAAAGAGAAACGTCTTCCATAGAGTCAGGTAAGTTACTGAACATTTCTTTGTTTAGGGAAACTGTGTCTCTGGTCGTTTCTTCATTGCAAGTAAAATCTGATGGATTCCCAGATCCCAAATTAGATGAATGTGGCTCAGATGTGAGAGGGGTAATTTCTTGCGATTCGGGGGAATTCTTGAACGTTTCTTTGTTGAAGCAAACAATGTCTCCAGTAATTTCTTCACTATAAAGGACATCTGATGAACTCCCCAGTCCCAAATCAGATGCGTTTGATTCTGATGTGAGAGGAAGGATTTCTTGCAATGAATCAGGCAAGTTCCCAAACATTTCTTTGTTGAAGGAAACTGGATCTCTGGTCATTTCTTCACTATAGGAAACATCTGATGGACTAACAGGTGCTGAATTAGATGCATGTGGCTCTGATGTAAGAAGAGTATCTTGCAGTGACTCGGGCAAATCCCTGAAAGCTTCTTTGTTGACAGATGCAGCGTCTCTTGTTAAGTTTTCGCTATCAAGGAAATCTGATGGGCTTACAGATACCAGATTAGATGCATTTGGCTTTGATACAAGATCAAGAACATGATTCTCTTTCAGTGATTCCACTAAATCCTTGGCTGTTTCATCATTTGTGGGAACAGTATATTCAGTCTGGGAAATGACATCAGAAACATTATTGTCCAGTAAATTAGGAGGAGATTCAGTGTTTCCATGAGTGCCATTTGAAGTGAATTGTTGAACCTCTCGTTTTGTTATATAATCAATATCGTTTTCAGATTCTGATTCAATAGTGTTGAGAGCATCCTCGTAATTATCAGGTTCACTGTCAATATCACCAGTTTGAACCCTGCTGAAGACTAGTTTCGGGTTGCTTTCTTCATTAAATAGGATATGATTGTGGTCAATATTTGTCATGGTAACATCCTCGTTCACATTCATATCTGAGTCATGTTTTTCCACAGGCCTCTCTTCTGGAGTTTTATCTATATCACTGGCTTGACTTTTAGATTCTACTATCTCTTCCTTTTCATCCCAAGTAACACCAGATGTGCTAGAGGCAACTCGTTTNAGCCCATCTTCACTTTGTAGCATGTGTATTAGGTGCTTAATTATATTTCAGCATGAGTTGCACACAAGGACACATGGCTTGTGATCCATTATACACGACTGATTATAAGCTCAACCTAGAAGCACTGAATGGGTAGTTGAAAGTGCTATAAAAGCACACCCATCATCTTGTACGAAGTCACTTTTGAAGAATATTGAGTTTTACTCTGCTGATGCATTTCCAATACCCTATACTTTGTCCAAAAGTCACTTCTATGAGCTTTCCTTCTCCATCTAGCTTCCTTTCAGTGGAAGGCCGCCTAAGCTAGCTTCCACCCACACCAAACAACTCTTCAACCATCCTCTACACCATTGATTTCACCTCTGCATCTCCACTGCCCCAATCTGGTTTCCATCTTCCGCTGCATTCCATTCATCACCCTTGTTGGAGCAACCTCATCAGAAGGGGTTTAACCTAATTTTTACGTGTGCTTCAAATAAATTATCAATTACAATTGTATAACACTTATAAACATTTTTATAATCTAAATAACATTTAGAAGATCATTCTTATTTTGTGTTTAGAGAATAATTGTAAGCATAACAGAAAAAAAAAAGAATATATTTTTATTTTTAGAAGATCAGTTATATGAATTTATACTATTTTAATTAGTAAAATTAATTATTCCAAATTTTAACATAAATGTTATATAATCAATTTTAACTAATAAAGTTAATTATTTCAGATTTCAACATAAGTTAAATTAATTGTTTAGTTACACTTTAAATAGTGTCCTTAGAACACCGGTTAGTAGAACTCATTAAAAAATATTAAAAAGTAGGCTTAATAGTCTTTTTTTTTCCCTAAATTTGCTTATTTTTCTCAATTAGGTTTTTTTTTAAAATGTGTCAAATTAGTTTTCGTTTAATAAATTTTGCATTGTTCCTTCCGTTAGATATGTTTTTTCTCTCTCATCTGATTCTCTCCAACACTACACACTTTCTTTTTCTTTTGTGAGATTCTCTCTCTGGTTCTCTCACGTTCACACACCCTACACATTTCTTCATCTCTTTCTTCTTTCATTTACATTTCCTCACTTTATAAACACCAATTCAGTCTCCAAAGTTACGTAATCATTCCCATGCAAAATCACACACTCCTTCCCTCCTTGCTGCATTGGTCCGAGAATTTCCATTACACACTTATTTTTTTCCTAGTTACCATCTTATTTTCTTCTTCAACTTTAGTTCCTATAACTCCTACAACTCTAACAGCCAGTGTCTCCTTCTCCTCAACCTCTCTTCACTAGTATTGCACCCTTTCTCTAACTCTCTTTCATTTTCAACGACCCATTCTCTTCCTTCTCTTCCTCTTTCTCTTCTCCCATAATACTATTTACATATACCACTTCTCCAAAAACACATACTAACATTCTCACTTTATCACCACTGCACTCCAATTCCCACACATGCCTTCAAAATAAATCTTTTAATAACAAAAGCCATGCATTTTAACTCTTACATGATGATGGCAGTACCTCACCTACATTTAACTCTTTGAACCCATGTGCCCCAAATAAGCTTCTGCACCATCGAATACGAAGCCCACCAGACCGCGTTGGAGGGAGTGTAGGTCACGATGGAAACCCCGAATCCCCTGTAGAACCCTCTTGGATCATCCACACCCAGAATTTTTCTGAATGCGTCAAAACCATTTCTGTAGCACACTGCAGAAGGAAAGATCAAGAATCAGTAGCAGTGTTCGATGCCCATTTGTTCACAGGTTAGTACTCTCTCTGGGACATGGTATAAATGAGAGAATTCATTTATGTTAACTAATCAAGCATTAATCATATTATATTCATTTTTCTAAATTACTATTCTTAATATTTTTCTTAGCTTGGGAGAAGAAAGAGTGTATAAAATTTATTGTGATTAATTTTTTTTATAATAAGTACTTGCAGTATTAAGGTTCGAGTAAATATTAGTTTTTATTTCAGGCAAGATATCTTATTTAGTTCTTTTAAATAAAAAAGTTGTCTCTCTTTTTTTATTCTAAGAAATGGTCAATGAAATCAAATTAAATTTTACAAAAATGGACCATAAACACAGCATAAAAACAGTTAGGATTAATGAGATGATGGATTAAATTTAAATTACTCAATTTTACCTCCTTGTACCATGAGTCTCTGGCTAACAACATCGACTGGGGTCCACACCAACTGTGCCACCATGGCAGAAGCTACTCCTCCTGCGGCATTAGCGAAGGGTGGCGGAGGCGACTTTACTCTTGGTGACTTCGAGCGCCGACATGTAAAGCGAATCTTAATTTGTTAAGTGAATTTGGGTTGCTGAATATAATGTGCCATCTTGGAAAAATTGTCTAATGAAGTTTAATCGAATTAGTTAAAGTGTTCATTGAATATAACTGTTCAATGAAGTTATTAAGCCTAAATGGTATAACATTTAGTGAAAGTTATATTAATATAACTGTTCATTGAATAGTAACACTGTGTAATGAAAATGAAGATGTAAGGAAAACTTTAATTTATCTTATCTAATTTATTCTTAACGCACTTTCTTTCTTAGGATGATTTTATTAATAATGACTGAATAGCACAACCCATATGTTAACCAAATTTATGATAATTTATTGTGTTAAGTCATGCCTATAAAAGAAAAGACTTCTGAATTGCTCTTAACTGTTTCTTCTACAACTTTTCTCACACTATACATAAATTTATCCATAAATTAAATTAAATTATATGCAAAATATGAAGCTTCAACACCTTCACTTAAAATATTTATCCATAAAAAGAATTAGAGATTGACAAAATTCAATTCCATAATTTCTACACTTTACAACTAAAATTAGTTTCTAACTATTAGTTAAAAACATTAAAATTAAAATATTACTAGAACAATATGATGACTATCATGCATTGAATATTCAAATTCTTGTAATATCGTTTTTTAAGTATGAAACAAAGTATATTAGAAATAAAATACACATCTTATGCACCTTCATGATCTCCAATGGAATTTATCATTGTTTCCAACAATAAATGATAGGTATAAATACCATGATATAAAAATGTAATCACTACAGCTACCTAGACATTTTCAAGATTAGTAGCACAAACAGAAAATTTGTTCAAGAACATGTTTTCCATTGAAAGAACCATTTGAAATAAACCTGTATAAAGATTCAAAGCAAAAACTAACGAAGACACATTCATCATACGATAATAAAAGAAATTGCACTAAAATTAATAACAAATAAACAAGATTTATTCACACATGCGTACATACAACAAAGCCTCATGCAACTTCACTTCAGGAGGCTAAAAAACATAAGGGGCAGCTCATGTATGAAACAAAAAAAAAATTGTCATGTATCACTCCAGTTATCATCATCTTCACCATCATCACTTGCAACAACCTGAAAGTGGATACTGATCAGATGCAAAGTGCAGAACCAATTACATAATAGATAACAAGAGTGTATTGACAAATACCTGACGAATTGCATTTGCCTTTTCTAAAATTGCTGTAACTTTAACGTTGGCAGTGGGACCAGTTGCATCATTTGACTTTCCTGTTACTGTGGGCCTCAGGTTGAAGGCCTGAACCAACAATGCAAAAGTTAACAACAATAAACACTGTTACTTTGTTTATAGATAAATTTGCAAGATCATGTTCTGGTTTGATGTGATGTAGACTCCAGAGTCAAAAATTGTCATTTTGAGGACTAATTTGATGTGAAAAATTTAAGTATTTAATGAACATTTTGATGTATTTATAGAGAAAGACAAACTTGATGACACTTATATCTGTGTGGATGACCAAAATGTTTATTTTTACCGTTGAATATATGAGATTATAACATGATTACATACTTTTGTCCTGATTTGATATAGGAAATCTTCTCTTTCATCAGTCTCCTTTCCCATTCTCAATTGGTTTGTTTCTTTCTGACCCTTCAATATCTGCTGATCCGGCTGCAGGAAATGCTGAATGAGACGAATGCGCTGTTAGATTCCAATGTTCATCATTGTTGCATAAATAAAATGTTCAAGAAAAAGGTAATAACAAAATGTTACCTTGTTCTTCAAGTTATATATAATGTTCTCATAAGACTCATGACCATCGTCATTAATTTGTATTTGCTCAACCTTGGTGAACCTAGGTTGCTGGAAGACAGTAGAATCTGAAAGACTGTGATCATTAACAAGTTCAACATCTTCATATATACAATGCAGTGTCTCGTTTGTCATATCCAACTGCGGTTTTGAGACCCACCATTGCGTTGGAGGAAGTGGAGGTGGTGGTGGAGGCGCTGTAGGCTCTGCATGCCCATGTTGCATAACAGCATTATTGAATTTGGAATGCATTTTACTCTCTTTCTCAAGTGCAGGATTAACATTATCATAACTTGGAAAATCAAGTAAAGGCCTGGATAAAGAATGCTCCATGCCATTAGCCGTATAAGTACCGTTTCCACTTTTGACATTGGTATCATCATTGGACACAGACTCAGTTGATGACTTTCTGCGAGGAGAATCATGTACCCCATGGTCACTGCTTCCAGGAGTTTCATCAGATTCCCATTGATCAGAGTTATAGTCAGAGCGAGGGCTTCGACAATCATCGGATATATACGGAGATGATCTACAGAAAGTGTCGTCATCATCAGAGTGAGAAACTGAGCCATCCAGAGGAATGGAAGAAGATTCAGGGACCAACTGGAAAGAAGGAAATATATCGTTTACGCTTTCATGACGATTATTGCCATCAGGAAATTTAAGTTTTAGTTTGGAGGTCTCTAGTCCAAAGATGGGATGGAAAGATATTTTCATATGTTCAAGTGGAGGTGAAGGGGGAAGTGACTTTATAGGATATACAGAACCATCTTTCTCTTTGAAAGTGGTTGTCTCAGGAAATGACTGTCCCACAATACCATTTTCTCCACTCTGTTCCAATAGAACTTGTTTCAGAGAATTATAATGTTCTGATTTTTCATCAAATGAAACTTTCCGTTGAAA